TATATATATATATATGCTTTGAAGTTGGTGATTCACTCGTCTTTCCCAATATTTAGTCGATCGATCAGCATTTCTGTGTGATGCACCGTGACATGCGGAACAAATAGAATGAGGCCTAAAACACAACAGAAGTTTTGATGTTTTCCTAATTTTTGAAGCAAAGAAGGTTAGATTTAGAGACCGCGTCGCGGTCCTTCTAGACCAGTGTCTCTTTTGGCTGATCTCGCTGCATCCCTCTGACCAGCTCCAATCAGGGCCATTTGATTTTCATGACTGATAGTTGAACTCTGGCAAGATGGAAATACCAACGTGAGTGCATAGCAGTATGGGGGATTTTGGATGAATTGGTTGCGCCGATGTGGTTAAGAATAAACTTTCACCTGTTTTGGTATACCTCGATTGTCTTCCATGGAGTGTCATTGTGCTGGTGAGCTGATGTCTTCAATGCTGCTTGCCTCTTCATCAGTCTCAGGTGTTATCTCACCAATATTATATTGTCGTTGATTTGGTAACTCTCCTTTAACTGAGGCTTTTGGGTCCTGCTAGACCATGAATCATGCTTTCTCGAGTACCGTCCAGAGGATACAGGCTGCCTACTTTTCTGACATATAATCCTACCTAATGCGAACCTTTTGAATGTGTGCACTTAAAACACAAAGTTAAGGGCAACCTCAAGCTCGCATGCCACAACATTTCAATCTCATTGACCGTGCTCATACGCGATGATTTGATAGTAAAAATCGCATTGTGAACCTGCGTGCGCCGCCTGGATAATCAGTATGCGAACTTTACGGCCTTGGTGAATTTGAGGTCATGGCATCGACTTAATTATGGCCTACGATATGTAGACATTTTGTATACCATCTTGCTTTTTTTGAGATTTATAACTGGCTAAACCCAACTTTAGCTACGCTAGCTAAACTAGGGTCTCCTTTTTGTCAAATGAACTCGTACGCCGGTGTCATATTGCCTTTGAAAAGAATAGTCTTTGAGTGCGGGGTTGTTTAAGCCGTTACAAGTAAAAACCTCAAGTAGAAACCTCATTTGCACACAGTTTATGGGGAACGAACATCCAAAAGTGTCTCCTGGAACTTTCCTGGAAATTGTTTGACTATTAAGCAATGTTGAACATGCACTGCAAATGGGTTCACTGGTTCCCATATCAACTTTCCATCAAATTCAGAGACGGTGCACCTGACCAGACACTACTGGCATGTTACACCAGCAGTGTACCCCGTTACACCTTGTCGTACTAACTTATACTCAATTCATCTATATCGAACGAACATCTTACCTTGTTTCCTTTGGCAGATTTGGAGTAATCGAGATATTCTTCTATGAACCGGTTCATACCTAGTGTTTTCCGCATACCGTCTCTCAGTTAGTGACTTGTTTCTAACCCCGATAGTTGCTGATCGCATTTCCGTTTTCGTAGGCAATGGTCACTTGACCTTACTGTGCAGGCTGCCCTTTTCGCTGATAGTAGTTTCGTACTGCGCTGCACTTAATTGGCTGCTGGTAAATCAAGTTTTTGTTCTCGAATAGTTTCAGCAAACTCTCCACGCTAGCGTAAATTAGATAGGTCCTGAAGTCTTCTTGCTCAAAGGTTAGATGATGTTCGAGGTCTTCTGCTCATCAATGCCGCAAAAGAAAAGGTGTATCTTGTCCCGTTTCGAATCGCCGACATGCAGTTGTCTTCTCACCTAACAGTGGAGACGTGTGTTTGCAGCAATCTTTCGAAATACACTCCTTTACACGCTGATTTTATAGCGGAAGGCTCAATTGAATCGCAGCCGAATCTCTCGTTTATGATACTCCTCAACCGAATTTACTGCGCAAAAGCCGTTTCTTGTTTCGGTTGGTAAGGTACTTTAGATATCACAGTATGTTTTCTCAGCCGAATGTGCCTTTATTTGAAGAATATGACTCATTTTCAAATGAATGTAGTTCGCGAATTTCTTACGTTTTGGGTTTAAGTAGAATCTAAGGTTGACGGATACGCGGGGACCGCACCTGCCTGATGGGACTCATGGATCATGGGTTGTTGAAATGTTCTGTCAATTAAAAACAAATTCGGCCTAATCAGGGCGATTATAGTCTTTCTCGGGAACTGATCTGCTGTCTTACATTTGACTTGTGTAGTCGTATGATTGTATTAGGATGGGTATCATTACTCGCTAATAAGCGAATAGCAATTTGACATTTGCAAGAAGTACACGAAGAGGCTACTGTACTACTTCCACGGGAGGAACCAGTAAGCTGCTGACATTTTTATGCATAGAGAGACACCACATTTTCTAGTCCAAGTTTCGTTGCCTCTTCAACCTGGAATCAGAGTCAAAGAGGAAAAGAGCCGTGAACGACGGTGTTTTTTATCAGTTTCACTTTATGTTTACTACTGTGAAAAAGATCCTGTTGATATTGAATGTAGGATAGAAACTTGGTCTAAGGTCTTTCTAGTATCTGGTTGCGCAGTCAAGTGCGGTGCCTCCCTTGCAACAGGGACGGCCGTTCAAAGTGGTCTCTCCTGGGATTAGTCTATAATTTGAGGATCGATCAATTCCCTTGTGTCTCTCTGTTCGCTGATCGTCATTAATTAAAACGAACGCCCTTCGACTTTCCCATGATCTAAAAAATGAGTCTCTATCTTCCCACAGTGCTCGTGAGGTGCAAAGTGTCTGAAACTGCGTGAACATAGCCTTGATTTGTGACGTCTTCCTTGCGTGCACTGTGGATCCAAATTCATCTTGAAATGTTTATCTGATAGTTCGGGCCAAGGTAGTGTCATTAGTTTGGGATGAAGCATAGTTAGGCAGGATTTATGCGCAGCAAACTATATGGACAATCGAACCTCTGCATGGATTTGGGGGCGAAGTTATCCATCCTCCTTTTTATAGGTGCGATTCAGGAGTGCGTGAATTAAGACACACATTGTCTGCGAAATTACCTTCAGGAGGAAGCTAGTGGGAAGTTTCATGGCTTCACTAATTTTTCGAGGATACTTTTACCCTGAAATGAGAAGTTCACTACAGCATATAATACTAACGAAAAGATGTACTTTGGAACGAGCTTCAACCACCAGGCTCCCACTTGCCGAGTTGGCTACCTGGGATGTCCACATTCCGTCTCGTTCATCTATCTGAACTTCACAAGTGATTCGTGGGGTGTATCTGCATTATGGCTTAAAGGAAATGATGTACATGAAAGACATTTCAGTGTTTCTTGAATTCAGCAGTATTAATGGTTTTGTAGTGAAGTTCTGGTGATTGTTAAGGGACAGTACGTTGACCAGTTCTTGGCTAGCCACATTAATTGTTTGCCTGCTCCAAATCCGCAGGCAGCCGGTCTCACCCTGTTTGGGGCCCATCAAATTTGTGTAGAGCCACTCTCCAGCAGCACTTTACACTTTGTAGGCATGAAGTGCATACCAAACTGTGGGGAAGAATTATTTAGATCGCTTAATGTTGTCCGCGTTACAATGGCGTCAGGTTCAAAAAGAGCTTATTCTTCCGCGCGCTCGATATTTGTGGGCAAATGGCCTGGGAGCATTTCGATTCCACAGGCATTAGAGCCTGTTGAAATGTAAGGGTGAAAGAGGAGAAGTTTGCCCGACACTACTCTATGTTGTGAACTCAGGCGAGAGGTTCTAGTTAACCTGTCCGCGGAAGTTGGCGTATAGTACAGGTTCAAGAATTTACGGGGAACACGTTTGCTCCATAGACACCAAAGTGCCTGACGGTCCACAGAGTCAAAGACAGTTTTCAGGCCAAGGAAGGCCACGATTGTCGTTTACTGGGAGCATTGTCGCTGTTCCAGAATCTGTCTGAGAGTGCAAATGTGACCGGAATCTAGCTTGGTTTTAACGGATTTGTCTCTTCCTGTGTTTATTCAACCTGGGAGCGCGATGGACCAAGTGGTTAGAGCGCGAATTTACTGACCGGAAGGTCCGTGGTTTGAACCCAACCTCTACCTCTCGACTTCCCCTGTCTAGGCTTCGGCAACCTGGCAGTATCCCAGCCCTCGTGCCTCCTTCGTGTGGCATGGCAGTTAGGCACCGAAAGGGTGCTACAGCTGAACCTTTTTTTATTATTCAACCTTCGAAGGATAAGATCCGAGGGCACCTTTGATGCCACGGTGTTTTCACACAGCGTCCGCATATCCTATGTGAAGATAGTGACAACTGTCAACGTGCCCCACTCGGCCGGCATTTTCTATTCACTCCATTTCGCATGAGTGTTTTAGCAGACGAGTTAGTACCATGTTTGAGGAGGGCTGGGTACAGACCGTGCTGTCCTGGTTCCTTCTCCCCTTTCAGTACGGATATTTTGTATTTCATTTCTCCCGACGGCGGTTAGGGTTTTCATTCCATTCGCCTCTATGCACTCCTTCCATAGGCTGTGTTGCAGGAAGCCAACTAAACTGTTCTTCCAGTGTGCGTCTCTGCGAGTGATTTACTGTACCGTCTTCTTCATTTATCGTGTCACTGGACATTGTTTTCCTGTGGCCGGTCGATCGTATCATTTGGTGTGGGGCATTGTTGTTTCCGGTAGCCAAAGCCTTCTCCATCTCCTGGGCTTTCGACGTCCACGAAGGCTCTGGGTCTTTTGTTTGACCCTTCGCTACTTGACTTTTGAGGGATTTGTGCGCATCATCGTACTCGTTGCTTGTTGGTATAGATTTCCTGGCATTAATTAGAACCAGCGATCTTTAGTGGTCATGTCGTATCGAAGAAGTCGAGCAGACCGCACTGAACACTGCTAGCATAGTTCCTTTCACATTTTATCATGCTTCATCCACATACTCGCTACCAGTGCAGTGGTGGTCTACCGTAGCTCAGATGAATAGTGACCTCATCTCTTACTTGCCTGCTACGTGAGACTAAGACAACTTTGTGCAGACGGTTACTTCTGGTTGATCGTACACAATGTTCCATGAGTGGATTTCCGTATGGCATCGTCAAAAGAATCTAGCTACCCATATATGTCCTCTCCTTCATGCAGAACGCTTGGGAACAACGCCTCAAACAAGTGCTTGTACCACCGGCACCACCACCGGGGCCAATTATTCCAGTTTTGGTGATTGCGTGCAATCGTCCCTCAGTCAAAAGGACTGTGGACGCGTTGTTGAAGCATCGAAGCAACGTATTGCATTTGTCTCCAAGTCAATTCCCGATAACCGTATCTCAAGGGTGTGAAAGCCAACCTACTGCTGATGTCCTTGCTGCTTATGGTGACGTCATTTCCCTAATCAAGTTCAACTATCAATCACGGGAACCGCCAAACAAACGTTCAAGTACGTTTCCAGGGCGTGTGATTCCGTAGTTTTGTAGTTTTGTGAGCCTGCCTTTTGTTGCTGGTTGAAATGTCTATAGCTCAGCTGAGTTTAGCGTGCATGTTTTTTTCGCTGGTCTCTGTGCCTGCCCACGCGGTCCTGTTGTAACAACTAAGCTACTGGCTGGACGTCTAAGTACCAGTAACAAAGGTCAAAATCAGACCAGTATTAGACAAATCCTGTACTATTCGTGAATATCGTTCGATCGACAACCAGAGTTAAATTCAACCGGCCAGATGTTTACTGGTATTTGGGGTCGAAACTGCTCCTTTCGGAGGGTATTTTATCGGCCTCGAAAACCCTGATCTTGAAGAACCAGGTGCGGCGATTTCAAAGGGGAAGAATACTTCAACTTGATAGAAATGTACTGACTTTTCGAAGATATTTTGGACTCCGTGTGTAGTTTAGTCTCTCTACCGGATAAAATTCACACACATACTTCGAACGTCTATGTTTCCAGTTTGTTAATTCAAATGCATGATCCCTACATTTTACTATGTTAGCTTGTTCGAGGCGAACATACGTGTTACGCCCAAGTGATCACTCACCCATGGATTGATGACGTCAAACTGGTTATCGAAACAAAGTCCTTTCACTACACGTTCGACTATTTTTTATCCTGAACTCCTGGGGCTTAACTATGACCTTTACTATTTTGGTGGCTTTTTTTCTGTCTTAGCCTTAGTTTTCTATTCATAGAGCCGTTACCGAATCAATTTCGAATAAAATTTCACATGTACCAATGTTTTTGGTGCACAGCTCACTAATCATGCTATCTCTTCTAAATTGTTATTTCCTTCCTCAAAATTCGTCTGATCTGTTTCACTATAAGTCCGAATATTACCAATTGAGCACCATCGTTGAACAGTGTAACAGTTGTCCGACCGATGGGAACTGCCTTCCGTCCATTGGGATTGGTCTGGAAGCACAGCTAGCGAACTACGGTAGCCGGTCATGAGGCAGAGATCTGAACAATCAACCACTTGACCTCGGGACTACAGCTCCGTTCACATATCCGCATATCCCACATAGCTGCGCATGTCCGCCCATTGTCATTGTCACAACCGCCAGCTAGAACGGCTAATACACACACGTACGGTTAATCTAACTCTGACACGGTGACCAACTTCTTATTGACATCTATTCACTTGGCTCCCAAAGCCGTTGAAGTAGGTCAATCACGACAGCCTAAACGCCGTGTGAACGTTATACTCTACACCATTGTGTTTTGATTCATACAGTTTCTAAATTTATATTTCAGAGATTTTCAGGTATAATAAAGGGGCATTGCCTTACGGTAATCGTTTTTATTCTTTTTCCTGACGTCTGGAATGATGATACCTCGAAGTGCACTCATCCTCTCGAAGCAAACGTTTCTTCGACACAATGGATGATTGTTCCTTCTTGGGGAAGAGGCGACTGTCATTTTAGAGCAGAACACTTGAGATGTGCTATCAACCTGATAGCTCCTATTGCTACCTTCTACCCTCGAGGAATTTGGAACTATAAACGTCCACTGGCGACTCTTGTCATACCAGTATATAGTCGTCAGGGCTGTTGTCTCTTGAACAGAATAATCAAGAACATCTTCAAACAGTCCTAAGAAAAAGTCTTCACATGTACACCTCAGTCAGATTCTTCGATTCACACAGATTTTTCTTGCTTCCGAAGGGGTTTCATTATAATTACACAAGGCACATAAATTAGCTCATAAATTTTCCTCTTATACAATAGTGGACCTTTTTCCAGGTCGTGGTAATTTCTTGCAAGGCTGAATTCTTTCGCATCCCTAATACGTTTATTGAAGGCACAAAACACAATGCCTCTCCTGTGAACTCCTTAATGTTCCCTTTTTCCAATTTCCACCCAATGGCATACTCTGTACCACCGCAGAGCTGACCAGCTATCAGTCCATGACACAACATTACAAGTTCGCCCTGGACTACATGTTGTTTCAAAAGAACCATTCAGCGCTGATTGTGGTCGAGGACGATCTGGATATCGCCCCAGACTTCTTCGAATACTTTGCTGCCACTCTTCCTTTGTTACACAAAGACCCCACTTTGTTTTGCGTGTCCGCTTGGAATGATAATGGACGGCCGAATCTAATCGATGAACAGCGCAATGATGTAATTTACAGGTGAGGTTGATGCTTCTCCAGATGAAACCTGAGACTTGTACTTATTTTGGTCGATGTTGATTATCAACTACGTTGTGATCCATTCAGAAATTTGGATAGTCTTTGCATGAGACGAGGTGCTCAACGTCAGCGAATCAGACTTGCACGTTTTAAAGTCAGTCAACAGAGACCAGCGAAACCTAAGCATTGAGGAAAAGTTCCAGCTTCAAGTTTCATCCTGCTATACCGAGAAGCACCGCTCAAGCAGGATGCCGAAACGTAATTCAGAGGCTACTTCTGGGCAACCCTTTTATTGACCAATGGTCTAAACCGTCTGACTGCAAAAGACGCGTCTGTAAATGTAAATAATATGGGTGGCTGGCATCCGAATCGGATATACCGGCCTGTATACAGTAGAAGAGCTACGTACAGTTGGCGTTGAGCCGCATGTGATGCTCCACGTAAGCCCTTTGGGCCAATTTAGACCCGGGGACAGAAGATCAAGGGGGAGCTGACGTGCAAAGGCTTGTTGCCGGTCGTATAAATGATGAACAACAACAGGCCTCGGCATCAGTGGCTTTTTCATCATCGATGTACCGGCGTCATCCGTCATTCCCTTTGAGTTCTAGTGTACTACCTCCCCTCTCCCAGTATAGCGTTAATGGGAACCTCCCATTGGCACACTGTCAAGGTGTTGATGGATAAACTGGCTAAATTCCATTGGAACTTTGGTTAATGATGCCATCCTGAGGGTGACAACGTCAGGCATATATATATATATATATATATATATATATATATAATGCACTCCAACCTAAGTTGTATTCATTGGGCTTCAGCGTTGCACTAATCATGTGAGTTGTACAGGCCGGTTCCCATGAGTTCAGCCATGCCAGAAAGGTCGATAGGGAGCAGTCTGACGAATAGAAGCGCGTCCCTCTACTACGGCAAATGGTATTACGAAACAGTCTAGGGGACAGTAAGCCGTTTATCTGAGCGACCAGCACCTCCAGACTTATGTAATGAGGAATGCTGTCTTCCGTTGGGGAAGGCTATCAAAACTGCACATTCCAATCACCTAACCGCTGGCTGTGATCGCGGCCGCTTTGTTCATTATAGCTGAAGTTCTCCCACAAAGAGAGAATCTGTTGTTATTCACAAAACTCTTGCTGTGAACAACGTCATTACAAGTTAGTCTTTCATACTTGACCTGCCTGCGCCCCGAGACCTTGATAAGATCAAAAAAGGGGCGAAGTAGGTCGTGAGCTCTCAGAGAGTTTTCATCAGCCTGACGAATAGCGCGTTCCTTTAGAAAAGAGTTGTTTTTTGGTAATAAATTAAAGAAATTCTTCCGGGTAAAGTACTCCTTGTTATTTTTCCAGAAGTTAATCAAAAACGTCGCTTTGGTTCAAAGGAATCTCACTTTAATTGTGCAATGTTTATCGCTGTAAGGTGGAGCGAGACGGCTCAGTGGTTAGAGCGCGAATTTACTGACTGGAAGGTCCGTGGTTCGAACCCGATCTATACATCTCGACTTATCCTGGCCCTCGTGCTTCCTTAGTGTAGCAGCTAGGCACCGAAAGGGTGTTAAAGCTGAATGAATGGATATTAAGGTATGTTCGCTGGTGATTTTTTCACCATCTGATTGGATCCGTAGTGTTTGGGGTCGTCGTTCTTTGTTTGAAATGTCGGTCCGGTTCGCACCAGGGACCTTCCGCTTGGTCAATTCGTGCTTTAATTACTGAGCGTGTAGTTTAATTCGGCAACCACACGTCATTCGAGCATACTGCCTCCATATTTCTGTGCGAATCTAAAATATGATTCATATTCATCCGGTTTAGAACTGACTTCTTCCCGGGGCTCGGATGGATGCTGCTGCGTGAGTTTTGGCTGGAAATCCGAGATAGATGGCCAGATATATACTGGGATGAATACTTGCGTCAGGCCTACATACGTCGTGATCGGGCGTGTCTCCGTCCTGAGGTAGGCAGAACCACCACTTTCGGTCGCGACGGTACCTCATTGGGTCAGTACTTTGATAAATATTTGAAGACAATGCGGCTCAACAGTGAAAAGTTCGATTTTATCAACGCAGATCTCACTTACCTGTTGGAGCCTGTATATACCAGGCGTTGGAAATCGATGGTCTATGAACAATCGGTAGCCGTTCCTCTCGATGATCTTTTGAAAGACCGTCTGCCGGAATCGGACGCAAGTGTACTGGTAATATACACGAAGCCGGAAGAATTTTCCACCATTGCTGGACATCTTACCCTGATGCCAGACTTGAAGTCTGGTGTTAGTCGTACCGCGTTTCGGGGGGTTGTGCCGGTTTTCTGGAAGAAACGCCAATTGTTCATAGCCCCTCCCACTGACTGGAGTGGATATGTCTTATCCTGAAATCGGTGTGCTTTCCCCCACATGTATAAGCACTGTTTTGTCTCACTGTGATAGCAACTGTGATGAATACACGTAAGCTGCTGGAGAAAAACATACACACACGTCCTTATGTTTCTCGCAATTTTATCACCTGTTAGTACACCGTCCTCGAACAAGGTGTTTCCTAATCTACTGGTTTAAGTGCTTTCCCGTCTCACCAATTTACTTTCAATGGCTGTTTACCCCTCATGTACATCGTTCAGTCTCCCTCTTTGGCATATCTTTGATTCCCCGTGTTTCTTGGACTATTTTCAACGCAGCGTGCACCCAGGGTGCTTTTCTACTTTCCAGCAGTACTACCACTTGTTTGGATGAATCGTTTTTGGTTTATTTATGGGGTGGTTGAGTTATGTGCTGCGTTGCACCCGCATTTTCCCCAGCACTTGCAATTATTTTTGTTATGCTATTCTTTGACGAAATCAGAATACTGCATGTACAGTTAATGGGTTTCCGTGAAAACGTTCTTAATTCTGTTGAATTCTGTTGTGTTTCCTTCTCAACCGGCACTCACCCAGACGTTCTGGATTGGGTTAGCTCGATAACTATTCATTGTTTCCGTGAAAACGTTCTTAATTCTGTTGAGTTCTGTTGTGTTTCCTTCTCAACCGGCATTCACCCAGACGTCCTGGATTGGGTTAGCTCGATGACTATTCATTACTGATGTATGCGATTGATCATCATCAACATTTTCCTGTGACCTCTAGTATATCTCAGTCGAGTCGCTTCACTGGAACTTGGAAAGGCTCGACCGGTCGAATGAACTCAGTCGTGCCCTAATTACAGAGATTGGTGCAGGACTCCAAACCATCTGGGTTTCACATGGTTCCATTCTCGTTCTCAGAGGTGACCCATCGAGTAGTTGTAAACTCGAAGGATTTCGAAACCGTTCAGGTGCATTTTTTTGCTTTTACCAGGCCAATATGAAACCAGTGAACAAGGGTTATTCAGCAGGCCAGTCACAATCTTTATTGATCCATTGGAATTTTGTGAACTATTGATCAGTTGGTCGCCACTTCACACTCGCCAGGTATTTCGTGGTCGTTGTTTGGAATGCCAGAAGTAGAGTGGCTTATCATAAAACTGAGGTCACCCATGATCAGGCGTTACTTTGCTTTTCTTCCTTAGACGAATAGTTTTAGCACTCTTCCGGACAGCTGAAGTTCACCTAAATATCTCTGTTCCATGATACGATTTTCCCGTATCGAGCAACCCTTCGTAATGACTCTAACTTGACCATGTGGATGTGCTTGGCTACCCCGGTGTTTGGCCTGTTCTCTCTCCATAATACGACTGGATGTGGTTCGCTTTCTCGAGCTGGTAATATATATTGTATGTAGTGAGCGTTCGAAAGCCGGAGTGGAACTGGTTGTTGATATTTGGAGGGGAAAGAAAGCCATCACTCGTCTTCAAAGTGACCTGCAGACTTTTTGAACGCAGGGAACAGACCGAAATTCATCAATTAACATGGCGTCTGTCATTACTCACCTCGTGCTAAGACCTGGACCAATGAGTTAACTTCATTGACTAGGTGCTTGACGTTCGATAATCTGACTCTGGATTTGATCAGAGTTGGGTTAAGTTCGACTGTCGTTGTACGGAGTTTTTGTGGCGTGTGGTCTGTTGTTCGCGTCTCGAGTCTCTTGTCAGTTCCGTTAATTTATACACACCGCATCTACAGGTGAACTGATAAGTGCAATGAGTTGTAGATGAAGGTTAAGCTTCCATTTTGAACAGCAGCAACCCGTGTGTGTTCTTTCGTACACAAGTCGCTGCAGGGATGCTTTTAGTGTGCGTACAAGTAGGCCAAAGGCGTGAACATCAGTGTAAGTAGCATCAACTATAAATACTTCCTCGGTACTGTGAGTGACAGTTTCGGTTGATGAAGCGGTCAGGTTAGTCACTTGACCGCTGTGCATCTTTTAGCAAACGTGTTTCCTCCGCTGTTCTATCCGTGGTGCATATCTGTCTAGCTTTTTGGAATAGAGTAAGCACTAACGCACTTTTGTGTTGTAACGGGCAGAAATTCTTGAAGTTCAAATAGTGTGCAGTCCATGTAGGTTTTCGATGTACAAGGCGAAATTCGATGCCGGTGAACAAAACGTCTATAAATGGAGGTTTATCGCCTTGTCCCATTTCATAGGTGGTTAAAATGTTCTGATGGAGAGTAGATTTTCAGTCTGTCTCGCTGTTCGTGACGAACAAAGTATAATATAAATAAAATCTAATCAAGAGTAACTGTATATCGTCCCCCACTAATTGTCCTAGAAGAATTTCACGTAGCTCTTGCAGCTAGCTGGAAGACAAAACTTGATATTCTTGGTAGTAAACTGATGTCTTTGATAATAAGGATAGTCTGGCGGGACCTGGTTTAGATACCAGTTAACTGCGCAAAAAATCTGCAATTTCATTAGGGTTGGCTTTGGTGAAAGCAACTGCACATCATTTCGTGAGGCATCCATAAAGTGAAGAGGCCGCCAGGCACAAAAGACAATGGCAGCGTCATTTTCTCAACGGTGGACGATCGAAAGTTCTGTTTAGTGCGATTAGATACTGTTACAGCGTGCCGTTTGTCTTGCGTTTCGTAATGCTCAACCATCAGTCAGTGATGTTTACCCTGTGAAAGTTGGTTGGGAGAATAATTCCCCAAAAACATCGGAAAACCCTGTTAGTCTAAAAATTAGTACACATTTTTAAAACAAAGTCAGACTTTTGGTGAGCCACCTATGAACGTTTATGCCTCCTTACAGATATGTGAGGGTTTCCTTTTGGAGATTGAGTTTTTGGACTTTGGTATTTGGAACAAAACCCGCAGTTTTCGAACCTAGCTGATAGTAGAGGTTTCATTTTTAAGGTAAAGTTGTGGTTGAGGTAGAATTCCGAGCACATGGCTTCGTAATCATCAGTTCTTCTGCGATCGTCAATGAACAATCATCACCGAAACTAGCTGGTTGCACCACAGTCAGATGGCCTTCTAAATTTTCACCGATTGGTTAGGTCAACAATCCTACTTAGAGGTGCTGTTTGAAGCGAAACAGCTACTCAGACGTCAAAAACATTTCTAACCCAAGCAATCCCATGCGAATTTTCAGCAGGAGCCGACTATTCATAGATTGTCGTAGACAACCATCACTCGGTATTTCGCATACATCAGTGACTCGCGCGTCTTTGTTGTACTACTTTACAGTACACCCCATATATCTTATACAGATCAGTCACTAAGCCCCACTTATGTGTGTAACTGGGTCCATAATTTTCGTATGGGCCTCCTGATCTTACCATCAAACGGATGTTTCGTACCTGGGTCCATAATTTTCGTATGGGCCTCCTGATTTTACCATCAAACAGATGTTTCGTACCTCCCACCAATAGGCACTTACGACAAAGGTGTGCACCAGATTGACTGCTCCGGTAAAATGCCACCCGATGGTGACTGAATAATGATGAACCAATAGATCTCTTGTACGCTATCCACCGTTTTCGGTATACCTTTTAGTACGATGGCTACGAACACCACCTCATCAGTAAAATTCGCCTTCCGCTTTGTTAGCGCGGTTAGACTATACATCAAACAGCCATCAAATCAATCGCTGAGTGCCGTGTACTTGCACACCACACTTATTTCTGAGAGCACTGATATGTCACGATATGGCAGAGGTTTAAGGAGATCCGACGAAGCAGGTGCACTAGGCAGATTTCTGAGAAAAGACTGCGTTCATAAGTTTTGGCTCAAGGATGAACGTCAGTATCTCGACTGGAAAAAGCAGCCTCAGCACACATTAAAACAGGAGGCTGGATTATTGTGTTGTAGCCCGCGCAATGAAGACGAGAGAAAACATTTCAGGGTTAAATTTTCACTCCTCAGCAAAAGATCTGCAAATAAAACACCATTCAAATCACTTGGTAAATACAATATCATCATCATTTCGCTTACAACTAGTGTATGAAAGCTGGCTGAATCGATCAAAGTTGGGGACATAAAGAGCTCGAAAGGCGGGAAAAATTCAAGAGAATTGCCGCTCCATAACCATCTCCAATGTCTCCGTCGTGCGGTTTGACGACGATG